AATTTATTGATTTTATTGAATAATTATCCAACTCGCGCTTAATTATTTGTGTTTACTAGTATGTAATCCACCGAATTGTGATGCGTATTAGCGTGGGTTGATTTAACTTACATTCGAATACACCACATTAAATCATCACATTCTGTTCTTGATATAAATAACATTACATAGAATGTCCAACAACCTGTAGATGATACACTATCTGGCTGTCCCATATCATTACTAGCATAGCATGTGTGGTAGACGTGGTTTGGCTGTCTAGGCTAGGATTTCAAAATGGTCACTGAAGTAGTCGGGAAGGCAAGATGGAACTTTTATAGGGGCAGACTGGCATAATAAAGCACAATACACATTCGAATAAAATAATAACAACTGGATTTATTACTAAATATCCCTATCACAATAAATATGCTAGCATATAAAGAGATCAGCTTAGTGAAAATGGTAATAAAGAGTCAGTGTCAAACTTTAGTGATGATCACGTGATGAAAGTCAAGCCCACTGTGTATACATTGTAGTGCTTCCACACAATGGAGACAAGGAGAGTAGATGTGCGCAGTTGAGTAAAGTTATTGTAGCAAGTTCAGATCGGGAGCTCAATGCGGTAGCGGACAACAAGTAGTCAAGCAGTGACACAACGGTACTGGCAAAGATCAGGAATAGGTAGCCTCCATCGTGTATGTTCCATCATTGGATACATAATTATTTGTAACCCCTATAGTCTGTGGCCTTTCCAGCTATCGTTGACTGTATGTACAACGTACAGTGTCATCTTACAGGAGCCTCATAGTTAAGCTGTTGACTGCTGAAAGTTTCACCGAGACTTACTAAACGTTAGTTTAGCAGCTGTTGTCCAAGGTCAATGCAACAATAAACACATAGTTTCTCATGTGTATCTGTTTACGGAAGATGTGCAGTTTTAATTACTTTATAGGCAAACTACCCTAGAACGTGACATAATCTTGTGATATAGAATCACAGTTGTTACCTTAGTACTTGACAGTTCCCACGGCTAAAGTTGTGCCCAAAAGTGATAGAATGTAACTTAAACTAAAAGAGTGTCTTATATTAAGTTTACTCAGTACACTATCAAAGGCCTGTTTTACACATGTATATATACCATCATCTTCTCTACAATATACAGTAACTGTAGCTGATGCACTATCTGGTTGTCCTACACCATTACTAGCATAACATGTATATATACCATCATCTTATCTTACAATATTACTAACACTAAATAACTCTCAATACACTACACATACATCATTACTTACAATGTACAGTAACTGTAGCTGATACACTATCTGGTTGTACTATACCATTACTAACAAAGCATGTATATACGCCATCATCTTCTCTTACAATATTACTAACCCTAAATAACTCCCAATACACTACATATGCAACATTACTTACAATATACAATAACTCTAGCAGATGGACTATCTGGTTGTCCTACACCATTACTAGCATAACATGTAAATATACCATCATCTTCTTTTACAATATTACTAACACTAAATAACTCTCAATACACTACACATACAACAGTACTTACAATATACAGTAACTGTAGCTGATGCACTATCTGGTTGTCCTATACCATTACTAGCATAACATGTAAATGTAAATATACCATCATCTTCTTTTACAATATTACTAACACTAAATAACTCTCAATACACTACACATACATCATTACTTACAATGTACAGTAACTGTAGCTGATACACTATCTGGCTGTCCTATACCATTACTAACATAACACGTATATACACCATCATCTTCTCTTACAATATTACTAACACTCCATAACTCTCAATACACTACACATACAACAGTACTTACAATATACAGTAACTGTAGCTGATGCACTATCTGGTTGTCCTATACCATTACTAGCATAACATGTAAATGTAAATATACCATCATCTTCTTTTACAATATTACTAACACTAAATAACTCTCAATACACTACACATACAACATTACTTACAATATACAGTAACTGTAGCTGATGCACTATCTGGTTGTCCTATACCATTACTAGCATAACATGTAAATGTAAATATACCATCATCTTCTTTTACAATATTACTAACACTAAATAACTCTCAATACACTACACATACATCATTACTTACAATGTACAGTAACTGTAGCTGATACACTATCTGGCTGTCCTATACCATTACTAACATAACACGTATATACACCATCATCTTCTCTTACAATATTACTAACACTGCATAACTCTCAATACACTACACATAAAACAGTACTTACAATATACAGTAACTGTAGCTGATGCACTATCTTGTTGTCCTACACCATTACTAGCATAACATGTATATATACCATCATCTTCCCTTACAATATTACTAACACTAAATAACTCTCAATACACTAGACATACAACATTACTTACAATATACAGTAACTGTAGCTGATGCACTATCTAGTTGTCCTACACCATTACTAGCATAACATGTATATATACCATCATCTTATATTACAATATTACTAACACTGAATAACTCTCAATACACTACACATACAACATTACTTACAATATACAGTAACTGTAGCTGATGCACTATCTGGTTGTCCTACACCATTACTAGCATAACATGTTAATATACCATCATCTTCTTTTACAATATTACTAAAACTAAATAACACTCAATACACTACACATACAACAGTACTTACAATATACAGTAACTGTAGCTGATGCAATATCTGGTTGTCCTATACCATTACTAGCATAACATGTATATATACCATCATCTTCTTTTACAATGTTACTAATAGTCAGTGATCCGCTATTCAGACTGTATCTACCACCTATGATGATATAAGCACTGCCTTTCTTCCACGTGTACGTAATAGTAGTAGGTTTACCAGTTGTGGCTGTACACTGTAATGTTACTTGATCTGTGTATTCTGTTGCTGCCTGATCTGATGGGGAAGTGGTGATAGTTGGTGGATCTAAAGTAAAATACACATATTACTTTAATTTACAGTACGGACAAATTAATTATTACTCTGCAAATGCTATTGAAGAAACATAATATGTTATGATAGTATTAATATTGAAGATGTAATCGATGTAATTAATATGTGCATTGACATTAATTTGCAAAAACGTAGGTGGAACATGTGTGTCAAAGAAATGTTTACTCATATACAAGACAAATAAAACATTCTGGCATTTTGCAGATTTAAAAATATGGCTAAATGGCTGAAATCTAAATCAAAGGTGTTATTGTTTTGGAAAAACGTGAAAATGTCAATAAATTCACTTAACATATAGTAACATTTGTCAAATAAAACAAGTGATTTCTCCGCATATCCTCGGGACAAGGCCATTTTTACACTGAATTACCAACTTACCAACTAAGTTTCAATACCACATGGGAGCTGTGTTTGCTTAGCAAAATCAAACAAAAACAAATTCGAAAAAATGTAGTTGCTCAGAAGATTGTATTTAAAACATTGTTTCAAAAACATGCTTACATCGAATATTTCAGTCAAATCTTTTATCAATCCTAAATGATAAATATTTTTTCATTCGTTAAACAGAGACACAGGTGATATGAAATGTTAACATACTCTACACTTTCCACGGAATAATTTATTTACGAGAAAGTATATATATTTGGATACTACACTTACAATTCACTGTCACAGTAGCGGAATCACTTATAGCGTGTTGTCCTACACCATTACTAGCATAACATATATATATACCATCATCTTCTCTTACAATATTACTAATAGTCAATGATCCACCATTTAGACTGTATCTACCACCTCTGCTGATATCAGAACTGCCTTTCTTCCATGTGTATGTAATAGCATTAGGTTTACCAGTAGCTGCACACTGTAATGGTACTGTATTCGTACCTTCAGTTACTGTCTGGTCTGATGGGGAGGTGATGATTGAAGCTGGAACTAAAACACACACAAAGAAACAGACATTCAGTTACCAGATATAAGATGCATCATTTCCTGTTTATTAAATTCATTATATGTTTGTTGAATGAATATTATGTAATTATGGTTGTAATATGTGTCACATTGTAAATATAAACTGAAATTGTGAAATTGACCTTACAATTCAGATTAGAAGTAAGTTCACATTCCTAAAACTATACTATATATATGGACCATGGTATGTTTGTTTCTGCACATATCAACATCACATCACATCGTTCACATCACGATTAAACACCTTACTTGACTTGGCTCAAATAATAGTGCCGTGTGAAAACGACACGTTTTCATTCCGGTCCTGTAATTTGCCCATTGCAAATACAGTTGTGAAATAAAACGTTTTTCTGACTCATCATACTACTGAGACATGGCTGGATAAACAGATGGCAATTACCCGGGTGCAATTTTGTCAGCTACAATTTGAATGACGCTACGGGATACCGGTTGTTTTTGGAACCTACATTTGTTCCTGTTCCTAGGTTTTTTTTTCTTTTTTCGTCCTTCAATACCTCAATCTCATTTAGTTCATCACCAGTCAAAATTAAAGATCGTGTTTTCTTTATTGGAGGTTGGCAATCCATTTCAAAGTCACAACACGGAGGACAAGACATGTTTTTCCAGCATTCCGTTTAGGTTTGTGTGGAGAACGACGATCACCCAACGACCGACACTCACAACTTGGATCCCGCCAATAACAATTACGTAATTTTTCAGATGTTTCTAATAAAGTAATTTCTTCAAACTTCAACCACTATATTTCCCTAAAAGTCGAATACTACCGGTTTTATGTATATTCGTTAAACATGTAGTCAATTCATGTTCCAGGGTCAACTATGCATTATCATCCAACATATCATTAATTGCATATGCAAATTCTGTGTTTTGACCAATCATTTCGATGGATTAACACCATCAATATATTGAATTGAATTGTTTATTTATTGCAAAGCAAAAGGCGATTGGCCCGAAGAGCAAATACAGTTTCACTTAACAATGGTAACAATAAACATCATTCAAGTTCTGCTTTTAATGGCAAAATAAACATAACTCGCTAACTGATTTAAAATTACATCATTTCTTGAACTCATGAGCGAGATAAATGTGTTGTAAGTGGGGTTGGTGCAAAACCATACAGGCAAAAATTCTGCTATAATACGTTGATAACGATGGCAAATAGCTATAAAATGATATTCGTCTTCAATATAAAGTTGCTTGCGTTCAACACAGTATTCACAGTATCTATTATCGAGGAGGACATTTTAGTCTTCCCTTTTCATACGCAAATTGTGAGGAGACCAACGTAACCTTGACAATGCAGCTCTGTATTTGAAAACATGGATGCAAGACAAATATTTTCATTGCTCAAGTGACGACTTAAAATTAATATAGGAACGGAGTTTGGGGGATGAAGCAGTGTCGTCTTGATATACTTGTTGCGCACAATCTTTAATTCTCGTTGTGAACTGAGAAAGAACACACTTTTTGAGCCCACAACTTGGTTCAGCCATACATGACCGAACCCAAAGCGAAATAACAACATTTG